GGATAAATTGGCAAGAGAACGAGCAGGGAGATGCCTACTTCAACGTACATTACCCTGATGGTCATCTACACAGTACAAGGAATAATTATCATCGTTGGAAACGCGTTCACTATCTTCGTCTTTTGGACCCAGAGATCCCGCCTAACACGTATTTATTTCCTTCTTGTCAACCTCGCAGTCGCTGATTTTCTTGTGGGGATTACAGAACTCATTGTCATAGGAACCGTGAAATTTCAAGATATTGGAGAGGGTTACGCAGGCGGTGTATTAAGACAGAGCCGATCAAATCCCTCAGCGGCATTTGTTATGCTTTTTTCGAATTCGTCCGTTTATTTTCTCGCCCTTGTCTCCTTGGAACGTGCTTTCGCCGTCTTGTGGCCAATCCGTCATCGCGTTACAAACAGTCAGTTTTACATCTATAGCATCGTTATTGTTTGGGTCGTCGGCCTTGTTTTCTTTGCTTTTACCGTATTATCCTTCCATTTTTCAGAAGTAAAGGGGGAATATGTTTTTGTCGCGAGTAGGATATGCTTTCTTATTCCCATCTTGATAATTTGTGCAAGTTACCTTAGCATAAGTACTCGATTGCGCGCAACATCATCGTCCACGATAGACAATCATAAGCACGGATCAAGGGAGCACAATTTACGCCTTGCAAAAACACTTTATATCACAATTGCTTCATCGCTTGTGTTTTGGATGACTGGTTTTGTCGTCTACTCAACGAGTGGATTCTGTCCTGGATGCCTTTCTACACCACAGGTTTTTTGGCTCGTGGATGCCATGCATATGGCAAATTCTATGGTGAACCCTCTCGTCTACAGTTTCAGAATGCAAATTTTCAAAGACGCTTTAAACAAATTCCGAGGAAAAGGACGACAGAACGTAAGACCAGTTGGGCAAAATAGTCTGTGCTTTCGTCTGGAAGCTTCGTTTACTCAACACTTTCGACGACAATGATTTTACCTGCCAAAAACAGAGTTATAACGCTGTCTGTACATTACAGTTAAGTAAAAGCCGTGTTGACGAGGTCATTATTTGTAAAGCGAAACCTTTTGAAAGAGTTTCGCTAAATGCGAAAATCTCTCTACTAATACATAATTAAACGCGAGTGACTATCGTTTGCTCCACCAACAACATGGTTCAAAAATAATAGTTATATAATATGAGATTCGTTCATCCCTAATCACCTGTTGTAACCACTTGGTGGCTTGAAGGATGCATTTGAATCACAGGCTTTCAGATTGTGAATCATTTGAAGGATTAAAGTTGGACTGAAGATACGGTTTCTGACATTCAACTTGTTTTGTAAAATACTCTTTTTTTGAATAGCCTCAAACGTGATACATCAGCTGTATGTTTGTTTGTTTGTGTGTTTCAAGAAAATTAAGGAATGTTAGATTTAAAACTTACTGGAAAACGTAAGTATCAACTAAACGACTTCGCATTGAGTCTAGAACTGATCAGCACACAGCTTAAAAGGAACTTAGAGCCAGATTCATAACGCGAGATAAAGACAATATCCTATGCTGCTAATTTTCAGCGCTGTTAACGTATTCAAGAAATTATCGCGGTAAGTCGGCTTGAGTCCTAAATAAAAAGGAATAGGTTACATTTTTCCTAAGTCCAAACAGTAATCAATTACAGAAAAAAATATATTCTTCAGCACCAACAATTTTTTGAAAGTTTAGCAGCCGAAGTCTAAATCTTTGCATTAGATGCGAATAAATAGTCGTGTTTATTGACACGAGATGTGAAAACCGGCTTATAATTAGGCCTCAGGGGCAGATATAGATCGGCGTCTTATCCTCAATACTGCTTCTTCGTGGACAACTCAAACGACTCATCGAATAGCAATTATTGGTTCGGCTTTCGTTTGATATAAAGAATTAGGCAGATCGAGAAGGGGGTCATAGGCCACGGTCTGCAATTTCCGACTTCAACAAAACATGCTTACCTCCATCTATGTTCGTATACACAGCTTCCATCTTCATTGCCTTATTCCTCTGTAGTCTGAGATTATGAAGGGATGTTCATTCTGACGAAGAATGAATAACAGTACTTGAATTGAAGCTTATTGAGCTCTACTAATTCGTATGAGCGGAACTTTAATTTATTTTAATTATTTTCTTTAAAGAACTTATTTCCGCATGGCAGATCTTTTTTTCCTGTAGAGCGTTTACATATTATTCAACAGAGTGAGTCACTGGAGTGGGGGAGCTTTAAAAATCATGCATTAAGTTGGTTTAAGTCGAAAAAGCACCATAAAGTGCCAAAAATTGATAAATAGAAAATGGCGGAGGCAAATGAGAAAAAAATGCTGCTAAATCTAGACTGGAATAGGATCTTTGTTAAACTGGAGGCAAACAAATCAAATGGTCAACGTGTTTTACTTTAAAATAATTTTTTGTCGTGTTATAAAATGAATATAGAACGCTTTGGGCTAGTTATTTAGTCAACTGCGTAAGCAAAACATAACGCAATACTAAGCATGTCTTTAGCTTTAGTAAAATGTTAATACATCAGCATTTGGCATGGGCTTTGAAAATAAGTAATTTAAAAAGAGGTAGATAAATACAAACGATTTATAGCACTGTTGTAAGTGTTGCAGTGACAACTGACATTTTGGATTTCTTGAAATAACTTTGATGAGATAAGTACTGAGTTTTCCCTCCTGACAATCACAAATGTTTTAAATTTCTCTCTTCCTCTCCCTTAAATTTTAATAAAAATATTGACGCTAAGACGTCAATCTTATATAGAACAAAGTATGTATAATTACCTCTGAAAGAATATTAGCAGAATAAATCGATTAAAACTATTCACAAAAGGAAACTTATTTTAATAAGTTTCCTTTAAAAAATTTTGTCTTTAAAAAGACACATTTTTTTATGACATGCCAATTTCAAGGCCAAATTGGGAGGCAGCTTTGGTGAAGCTGTCCGCCAGACTCTGAATGTCACCAGCACTGTGAGCAACTACAGCACTATCATCTGCAAACATTATTTCCCTCCCTAGGATCTAGGTTGTGCGTGTTTTTTTACTTTGAAAAGGGGTACATTAAACAGGTCAGCATTAGTACAAGTTTGGATGAAGACACCGTCCTCAACACCGTCAAAGGCTACTTTAAGATTGCTGTTAGGTAGAGAGAGAACAGTGTCTGAGCAAGCACGCAGCCTTGCTTGACAAAATCGGTGACAGCAAATACCTTGGAGATGTAGCTTCCTTGATCCACATGTGCTTGCATTACGGTGTGCAGTGCCCTCGTCAGATTGATAAATTCAGCAGTACATCAATAGTTTCCGAACACTGTATCAAAAGCCTTAGAGAAGTCGATAAAGACGGCATACAGCGGCATATTATTCTCTTCACACTTCTCTTATAACTGTCGCAAACAGAGGATCGATCATATCCACAGTGCCTCTACCATGCACTGCGAATACCACATCGATTCTCAGGCACGATATGGGGACAATGTGTTTGTTCAGTTTGTTGAGGAGTATGCGAGCCAAGATCTTTTCGGCTGTCCTTTCTACTTCCCCTCTTGAAGACTGTCACGATAATGCCATCTTTCCAGTCTTTTGGTATATCTTGAGTTTCCCTGGTCTGCAAACTCAGTTTGTACAGGCTAGAGGCGAGTTTCACAGCCACAATGTTTCCAGATTTCGGCAGGTATACAACACCTTCCAAGGGCTTTACCTTCCTTTGTTGCATTGATGGCATCGAACAGTTCCTTCCTTTTAGGATTTTCATCAAAAATATCACTTTTTAACTGGCTGATTTTTTGTAATGAACGGTGCGTTGCATTTTGTCACCAAACTAAATTTTAGGGATACTCAAAACTGTAGTTGTTTTTGGGTAGCCTCCTATGATCTGTTCGCCTCTGCTCGCAAAGCAGGCTCCCGCGCCAACGGCGACCGGCGTTCACAGATTGACAAACAAAAAAGTTCAACGGTCCTTTTTAAACCAAAATTTGGAACCCCCATCCCCCCCAAAAAAAACAAAAAAAATCAAGAATTCCTGGATCCGCCCCTGTAGATAAATTATTATTTTTTTGTTTTCGGTTATATATTTGTGCTTTAACAGAGTGGAGAATACAGCAGAATGGTGAATAATGATCTCTAACATCGGAAACAATATTAGTAGTATACTATGTTGAAACTTGACCGGATTTTGGGTTTTTCTTGGATTTCCCGCATACTAATTTGGATTTCCTGCATACTAATTAAGTGCCTTCCTCCACATATAATGAAGTGGATAGGTTTACTAATAAGCGTCACTCTACTACAATGGGAACAATAGGCTTGCCTAGACTTGACCGTGAAGTAACTTGAGCCCGGTTTTCGGACCGTCTATTAAAACAAAAATAGGAATAAGAGAAGCGATCACCTAGCAACGCGAGAAACGGCTTCCTATATTTTATTTAGCGCTAAAACTCAGATGTATAAACAAAACACATACAGAAAGTGGAGTTGAAAAGTCTTTATTTCAATAAAGTTTATGTCTTCTTATTTAGAGCTAAAACTCGGATATATAAACAAAACAAACGCACATATACACAAAGTGACGCTGAAAACTCTCTATTTCAATTTTGTCTGACTATTACAGAACTGTCTTCGCCGTGTTATCTCTAGGAAATGAAAAACTATTGAAGTCTCAACGTTTTACGCGCCGTTAGTTAGGTAATTATGCGAGTTCACAAGCCCAAAGTTGAATACAAATTAGCTCTACAGGAAAAACCTCAAGGCAGCATTTTGAAGTATTATTATAAAACAAATAACTTAATACGGATCAATTGATTAAACACGCGACTAATAATTGCTAGCAATAAAATCAGACACGAGATACCGTTTAAAACAAAAAGAGTCAAATACACAGCGATTTGAAAAAATCTATTAAAATAGTCAAAGAAAGCAAACCATTTTTTTTACACTGCGCACAATGTTTTACCTACCCCTCTCCCTTTTCAATTTTATTTATCTCCTCAATTTTTCTTTTTCCCTTCTCCACAATTTTATTATTTTCCCTCCTCCACAATTTCTTATGATTTTCCGTCCTCAATGTTATTTACTCTTCTCCTCCACCTTCACCTCCTCATTTATTCTATATATTTTTCCATCCACAAATACATCGACCTCCTAGCGACTTTACATCGACCCCACACCGACCCTACATCGACCCCTCATCGACCCTACA